CACTCTTCGCGGAGCCGCCTTCGATTGGTATCGCCGCCTCAAGCCAGGCAGTGTAAACAGCTGGGACGATATGGAGATCATGTTCCTCGCTAATTTCTTCGATGACGACACCGAGATATCCATCGGGTCATTACTTGATGAGAAGCAGAAGGACGGGGAGTTAGTCGAAACCTTCGTCAAGAGGTTCCGGAACAAAGCGATGAATTGTCGGGACCCGATCACCGAGGAATTCATTCTCCAGACCTGCCATAATAATCTGTCCTTAGACGTATTGGAAGCAATGGGGACAGCACCGTCTGACACTTGGAAGGATCTGAAGGTCCGAGGGGAGCAGGCTGAGCGATTCCTTAGAAGGAAGAAGGCCGAGAGGAACCAACCGACGGTTAATCCGCTGGACTCAAACTTCGCCTCTCGTGGTAAGGGCAAGGCACCTGCAGCTGCTGGTGGTGCTAATCAAGCGTCACAACAGCAATCTCGAAGGCAGCAAAAGACTTTGGGTCCGAGACTCCAAAAAGAGTACTCTTTCAAGGATGAAGACATTCCAGCCATCTTCGAATCCCTCCTTGAAGGTAACAAGATCAAGCTACCACCTATCACAAATCAGGAGGAAGCTGACAACACTACGGACCCAAAGTACTGTGCATACCATAGGAGGGTCGTTCATCCCACCAAGGATTGCTTTGCTCTCAAGAATAGCATTCAGACCTTGGTGGAAGCCGGCGTCATAACGCTAAGGTAAGCCAATTAAGAACGGTGAAACTCCAAAGAGTATACGAGTATAAACTGTTTCTCAATCCTCCGACCGGTATAAGAGGTTAAACTACTCCCTGATACTCCAATAGGTATATGAGTCTAAACTGTTTCTCTACTTTTGACGGGAAGTTCCTGGAGAATATTAAGCTAATATTCTTAAGGATAACCCGGTTAAGTAACTGATAATAATGTCCGAACCAGTTCCGCAGAGGAAACTGGGGGTGGACGATTTATGTAACGGGAAGTTCCCAAAACCACAGCAATGTAATGAATAAGAACTCCCATTCAAATTCTCACCGTGTCTGTGCACTCAACACTCTCTCTGTTAGAGTCTGGACGTAAAGTACCCACTTGGTCAAACCTTCTTACAGTTAGGACCACAGTCAAAATCCCCTCTCGATTCCCCCAATGAACGAGAGGTCCACAAATTGAGCGATCAAACCTTCCTACAGTTAGGATTGTCTCAAAACACCCACTTGGTCAAACCTTCTTACAGTTAGGACCACAGTCAAAATCCCCTCTCGATTCCCCCAATGAACGAGAGGTCCACAAATTGAGCGATCAAACCTTCCTACAGTTAGGATTGTCTCAAAACACCCACTTGGTCAAACCTTCTTACAGTTAGGACCACAGTCAAAATCCCCTCTCGATTCCCCCAATGAACGAGAGGTCCACAAATTGAGCGATCAAACCTTCCTACAGTTAGGATTGTCTCAAAACACCCACTTGGTCAAACCTTCTTACAGTTAGGACCACAGTCAAAATCCCCTCTCGATTCCTCCAATGAACGAGAGGTCCACTTTCAAATCGAGTGATCAAACCTTCCTACAGTTAGGGTCATCTCAAACTCCTGCTTGGTCAAACCTTCCTACAGTTAGGACCAAAACCGCAATTCACTCTCGATAAACGAGAAATTCATCTTTAGTTCGGTAATCAAACCTTCCGACAGTTAGGGTTATCCGAATCTTTTCGATTCTCGGAGTGGAGATCCCACTCTCAGTTTCACCTTTCCGGATTCTGGAGGTGGAGATCCCACCTCGAGTCTCCTTTCCAGTTGAAGATGGAATATAAAATTCTTCTTCTTCATTGTCGGGAGATAGAATATAAAAATTCTTCCCCCATTTCGGGTTCGTCTTTGCCCCAAGAGAAGACACCACCTTTTTCAAATCCCAAAATTTGTGCCTCACAGGTACTAGGAAGTTTATCCCGAATCCTAAGCAGGGATAAGTCTGCGCCTAACACGCGCTGCCGGTTTAGTCTTTTTCCGCACAAAAAGACACCAGAGTTCGATTCTGGGGTATTCTATCCTGAAACCTAAGCAAGGATAAGTCTGCGCCTAAC